ATACATTTACATACATTTACATACATCTACATACATTTACATACATTTACATACACTTACATACATTTATACATCCTTTTTTCCATACATTTACACATACATCCATCCATCCATCCATACATACATACATACATACATACATACATACATACTTTCATATATATATACACACATATATATATATCATATATATCATATATATACATACATACATACATACATACATACATACACACAACACCGAATAAAGCGGCTTAGAACAATCTTCGTTCGTGACATGTTGCATGCCAGGCCTTGCATTCCACTTCACCGGTGGCCCGACCGTCGCACGGACGAGCACCGAGACAGCGCGATGCACCACATGCGCGTTGGTAATCACGAACCTCTTGGAAAGAGAAAGAGGGACCATGGCCAAGTGAGGAGCGGAAGAGACGGGGTCGAAACGGAACGGTCCTCGAAACGTTGTCAGAGTCCGGCCTGCCATCAAGGAGGAAGCCTGTGCCCGTAGAGGCACTCTGGCCTCTCACATGCCCCAGAGACCGCTACATCCATTGACAAACCCTCGACCAAGCCCACCCAGGAACCATAAAAAGAGTCCAGAACAGGCTGTTGCGCATAAGTCCACAGCTGAGGGACGAGCTGTGCTTGCGCCACGGGTCAGCAAAGTTGCATGGGACCTGTCGCAAGCTGCTGGCAGGTCTCTGGGTGGCAAAGACCCACGGCCCACCCTCTTCACGAAGAGCTTGCACACGGAGCCCGTGCCCGCGGACACACCGCGGCTCTGCCGGACTCGACCTCTTGTCAGAAATATGTTGTAATGATACAAGAAGGTGAAGCCGGTGAAGCTGAGCGCCTCCAGTTCGGGGGCGCTTGGAGGCTCGCGCAACTACATCTTCCCCTTCGGCAGCAATTGCTGAGAAGTCTTCTTCCTTCACTGGTATGCGCCTCCCTCCGAGCCGCCCGATTCACAGCTGTCGGCCATCAGGAGCCGTGGGATAAGAAGCAATTTGGTTCGCTATTGTTTTCATAGGCGATCATTCAAATCTGGGGGTGTTTGGACATCTCTCCTAACGAGTCGCTGATGGGTCGGTCGTAGATGTCCCTGGCATCTTCTGCCAATACTCCCTTTCAACGGTTCCCTCATGCAGAACTGGAAGGCCCAAAAGGGCTTGATAGAGAATGGCAGCAATACTCCGGATTGGACTCCCTAGTACCCTGGAGTTCGTGCGCAGAGCCTTCGTGAAACGCACTGTCATTGAGATTGTGGCGAATGGGAGATGTCTCGGGCGACGTCATCCTTGCAGAATGACACTCGGTCTAACTCACACAAACGAGATCATCAAATGATGGGTAATTGGGTAGTCTAAGCATGACCTCGCACGTGCGGATGGCTTGTCGTGCACTTCTTCTTCGCTCCTCAAAGATCTCTCAGCTTGGACACTACCAAACCCCTAACCGAACCTGAAGTAAGCAGTGCTTACATGGTAACGTGGAGGAGGGACGTAGCTCTCCAAGCAGTGCCCTGCCTTTGAGGGTCCTGCCGAGGCATGGTAACCATGAAGTTGTCGCACCGGCCTTCCAGAATTTCGAAACGGAAGCATGATTCCGAGAACTGCAGGGCCAGAGTGATCCAGACGGCCTCTAGAGTGCATCGGGCTATGCCTCGGAAGCAACTTCTCGAAGCTTCAGAGGGCGGGCGCAGACAACTACCGAGGACCCAGCCCGCGGCCACGGCCCGGACGGACCTGCAGAAGGCCCCGAGAAAAATCCAGGGAACCCGAACAACAGCTCTTCTTTAAAATGGGGCCCCGGCCTCCTCAGTTCGCTGAGGCAGAGCTGGCACGGCGTTGAGGTCGGCTCGAAGAAAGTGGCAGACCTGGTGTTGAGCACAGACATCTTCCCTGCTCCGTTTGCTTGCTTGCTGGGCGGCTGAAGCCCCTCCCCTTGCACTCTACACCAATGTCCAACGATATGGTCGGCGTGAGAGGCAGCAGGAGCGACAGCGCCACATTTCAACATGCGCAAACCCACTCCCCATTCGCCACGAGCATTCTGATCACCGCGAGCGCATTCCCGCTCTCTGTCTCTTACTTTCCCTTCCAACTGCTTCTCGCTTGTCTGGATAAAGGTCGGGACGTCTGGAGTTTGCAGCGGCAGGCCCTGGCACAAGAAAACATGCTCTTCCGAGGCCCAGGCCCAAGCCCAAGCCCAAGAGGAAGGGCGCTGGTAGCTTTCCTTTCTTACCTTTGACTGAGACCTCTGCTTCCCTTGAAGCTCCATCTCTCGCCTTGCATTCCCTTCCTCAAGTCCAACCAAACACTCACACGCACTCGTGCGGTGACTTTTTGCTAGAACCATCTCGACATGCCCCGGCCTCGGTTGGCGATGCTGCCACGAAAGGCGGACTGGCGAAGGGCACAGAGCATTGCTTGGAGTGTTCATCCGACTTGTGAAGGCACGGTTGCAGGGAATCGTGGTCCATCGCCGAACGCAGGCTCTGGCAGAACGTGGCATCCACTCACAATTTTGCTCGGAACGTGCAGCGATCCACTCGTCCGAGGACTCATTGCAAAGCAGGATGTCCGTTCCTTCGGAAATGCAACAGATGCCTGCATTCGTCATGCATGCCACAAGGTCAATGATTCAATTGCAAGCCAGGTCCAGCGTGTCGCTGAAGTGACAGGCGGAATGAAAGCCACACCATCAGGGTCCTGTGAGAGCCCAAGACTCAAGGTTAAGAGAAGCAACTCAACCCTCTCCTTGCTCTGGGAACGGCACCATCAGCGCCAACGCGGCGAGGAGGCTCCACCCCTTTCAAGAAGCTGGGCAACTTCCCATGTGGAGATGATCCACTGATGGTGCATTCACGGACGGACAGGTACTGCCAGTACGGACAGGTACTTGGTAGTACTAGTACGAGGTTTCACCCATGCCGGCAGAGGCAAGCCTTCCCCATGATCTTTGAGCTCCGCCTCATCCTGCCAGACCATTCAGCTCTACACGCAACAGCCACTCCATTCTCAGGTCCTTGGCGCTCAGGGGTGGAAAGACACCAAGCTCCACCGGCATTGCCACTGCAACGCGGCGGGCAAAGGCCTGTCGAGCTGTTGGAGATCTAGATTTTTGTAGACTGTGGAGCATCTATCCCATTCAGATCTCGTGCGCTGGCTGCACAATGCAGCTGCTTATGGAATTAAAGACTGCTGGAAAGAAAGGCCAAATTTCAGATTGAGGGAACATGCTTGCTATTGAACTGACTTCAACGGCGCAGGCAGTCCAGTGAACAGCAAGACTCGAGTTGAGCGGGCTAAAGCTCTGAAAAGCACTCCTAGCAGCCCTAACCAGTGTCAGGAGAGGTGCATATTGCAGTAGGGTTCTAGGGTGATGGGCTTTACAGTTTAGAGCTTCTGATATGGGATACTCGAGTCCGTCACATGCGAACAGCTACCAGCACAGCGAAGCTCCACCCTTGGAAGCTCGGAGAAAATGGCTTAGGCTTCGGGCCAGGGGGTTTGGCGATGGCACAGAACGCGCACCTGAGCAAAGCCGCCATGAAGCGACCGCAGTAGCTCGTGGAGCACGGATGCCTTAGGAGCTTTCGCAGAACCCACAGGCAGCTTAGGGGAGTTCCCGCGAATGAATGGGTCTTATCAGGGCTGTGCAAGGCTCAGTATGATCTACTAAGGGGGGTAGTTTCATTTAAGTTACCAGGCTCTTGGTTCTAGAACCCGGGCAATCCTGTAAAGTAATAAACCCCCCAACCTCTCGAAGCCTAAGACCCTTGAACCCGTGAACCGAAAGACCCTTAACCCGAACTCCAAAACCCTGCACCCTACCACCCTATACCCGCTGCCTCTATAGGACAACCCTTTGAACCCTCAGACCCTAAGCTCCAACCTCTGCTCCTCCCTCGCCATGGATGCCTCGCCAACGCCAGCACTTCGGCCGCCGAGGAGGCGGCGCGGGCGCCACAAGGCCAACTGCCTGCCCGGAGAAAAAACCCAGAAAAAGTGTTGAGACGTTGTGAGATCCTCAATGTTGGAATCGTTTCAATCATGTAAGCCAAGATCGCCGACCAGGAGAACAGGTTTTGGAAATCGAAGTGGACTTAAGGCTTTCGGACAGCTGTTGTAGGGCTGTGGGAATTTCAAGGGGTGTAGGTTTCGGGTTCATGCCTGGAGATGAGAATGGACATAAACAAAAAGCAACCCTAGTAGAAACAGTAGCAGCAGACAGCAGTATGGAAGTCGACTGCGCGTATCACAACCGGGAACCGTATAAGGCCCGATAACGCCCTGGAAATGCCGGAACTTCGTGGTTTCCGACCTCAGCTGCAGCTCCCCAAGTAGGAAGGCCGCGGGCTGTTGAGCTCCAAAACCTAAGCAACGTGCATTGGCCAGAACCCTTTCGCTTTTTCATAGAGCCTAAACTGTCGAATGGGGGAACTTGAACTGCACACTGGAGGTGTCATCGGAATCCTTAATTTCAAGCAAGGACCCCACTATAGGGGTGCAACAACTAGCAGGGTCCCTCAGCTTTCGGAAACTGTTAGCTTCAGACAAGCCGCATGCCTCTGTGGCTTCGACCACCTGCCCAGCAGATGCAAGAGCCACTCGGGAGTTCCAGAAAGTACTAGTACAGGACCAATAGACACGAATAAACACACGACTGCAAATATCGGCCCCCGGAATTGGCGGCTTAGCCGTTCAGCCTGCACTGGGCACATCAACCGGCTGGGTCTCTCTAATTCGCTCTCTCGCCTGCAGCGTTCCACGGGGACTCAGAGTCAGCGCTGCCTCAAGACGGCGCAAGATGCAGCTTCTACCGGCAAACTGCAGCCGCCGCCTGCCAACGAAGACCCCTGCGCAATGCCTCAGAGTGCAACAAGCCACGAAGTGCGCATGTTTACTGTCAACTTGCTTTGCAACATGGCTTTTGCAGACTAGCGGCCAGCAACAATGCACCTCCGACCACCGCATCAGCTTTGACGGAGTCCAACACCATCTCCTTGGTCTTGACACGGATGTCCGAAACAACTGCAACTGCTCACATCTCTGCCGTGACCTCTGCAACTCTAGCAGGTCCTGGCACAACAAAGCTTGAATATGTGTTTAATGTACTATGCTATGGAGCCAAAATCGTATACTGCGTTAACATATGACATCATGTAATATTCTACTTATGGAATGATACAAAGATGGAATATAGTAGACTATACTCTACTACATTACATTACGTGTATACACAATTCCACCCAGCATCGTGTCTCAGTGCTAGCGCCGCCTCCCAGGCACTGCGCTGTGCAGCGGCGCTGAGCGCGGAGGCAAAGCTGAACTCATCGGGGGCAAGGCCTCGAAGAAGTTTACAGACGATAACATCCCATGAAGTACCCTCACATAGACTTTGAGATCCTATGCGCCTATAGGATAAAGGCATAAATGACTCTAAACGCAAAGTAACTGTCAAAACAGCCCCTGTGGCTTAAATGCCGAGGAACCTGAATGACGAAAGTCGTGGAGCATCAGCAGCGAGAGCTGCCAATCTCAGGAGAAATCATTCAACAGCTGCTCCTCTGAACGTGCATATGAAAGGTGAGAATCCCCTAAACCCTAAACCCTAAACCCTAACAAAACCCTAAGCCCTAAACCCGAACAGAGTCATAGCAGGTCCACGCATCCTGCCTGGGCATGCCCTGAGCGCGGCATTGCAAGCAGCCAGGTCCGGAGCCTCCTGCGCAAAGAAAAACCACCACATTGAAAGGGCTTAGGGTTGAGCGTTTAGGGTTTTAGGGTTTGGGGAAGACGCACATTGTTGTTACACCACATTGTAAGGGCTTAAGGTTTAGGGTTTCGGGTTTTAGGGTTTGGGGAAGACGTACATTGTTGTTACATGCATAAACTACATTAAACTACCCCATGTAGAGCCCTTATAGCCCCTATAGTCTACCCTTATGCTACAATACTATAATATAATTTACTAGTTACCCGAAGATCCGGAAGCTGGAAGCTTGTGAGTCCTGGTATCTCAGCAGACTCATCGCTCGTTCCCATTGCTTGGCCTCTGCCAAGGCACTCAGCACGGCCTGGCGCAGGTATCAGATGTTGGGAGTTTCCGGACAGTTCTTAAAAGGGGGGGGGGGTCCGTATAGACAACGGACTCTTTCGATTTCTGTCAGCCGGTCTCTTTCTCTGCACATATCAAGATCATGGAAGCAGCCGGTGATCTCTGAGCCTGCAAAAGGCCCGCATCCCAGGGCATACGCCGCGCGCAGGCCTGGAGTTGGGATTCTCAGACTTGCATTAAGGTCACGAAAACAACACAACTGCCATGCTGCGAGGCCAGCCGAGGGTGCTTTAAGCTTGCTCAATATACCATAATTCCATATAACTTCAGCTGCAGAGCTATCCGGGCACCTCCTGAAAGAGAGCCAGGCTCCGCTGCCACTGCCGCCGCCTTCAGAAGAAGCTCGGGCTGACTTCCGCGGCGTCTCCAGCGTTTCCAAGGCTCATTGGGTCTTCAGTGGCTGTACAAGAGGCGTTCGTGCCTTACGGGCTGTAAGGTTTTTTCCAGTTTTCGGGCGTGCAGTTGGCCCTTTGGCTTTTTTCAAAGCATCGGGTTCAGGCCGTCCTTGAGCCCTTTCAGCCCTCTCCTGCCGCAAGCGGCCGCGGCCGCTGACAAGGCCGGGGCATCGCGGGCAGAGCGGAGGAGACGCAGGGACCACCTGAAGGGAAGAGACTTCGCAGGCAGTAGCAGTAGTAGTAGCAGTAGTAGTAGTAGTAGTAGTAGTAGCAGTAGCAGCAGTAGCAGCAGTAGTAGTAGTAGTAGTCGTCGTCGTCGTAGCAGCAGTAGCAGTAAGAGTAGGAGCAGCAGGGGGAAGAGGAGGAGCTAGTGCCACTAGTAGTTTGTGCGTCGGCAGTCAGCAAGCAAGCAAGTCTCTCGTTTTGAGCATCCCGTGCGCGGATGTCTTCACATTTACAGGCCTGCATGCAGTTGCAAGCAGGACAAGTGTCCATGAACAGCAGGCAACGAGCTGCAAGCGACTAAAGGGAACATGATCCAGTGGCCTCTGGCCAACTCTCTCATGAAATGCGGCTCGCAGCTGCCCATGAACTTGTGCTCGTTGGCACACGCAGCTATCAGACTGAAGACGGCGGATAGCCACAAGCCGTTAGCTTCTGTCGAACCCTGGGCGCGCTTCCCTTCTCTGTCCGCGACTCTTGGGCATGGCCCAGGACCAAGGCCCACACTGCGGCCAAGTGCAGTCTCTCGATCATCTCCGAAAGAACCCGGCCAATTTGGTCCGGCACTCTCCGGATGAAATGATTCTGGCCGGCAATCCTCTCTATGAACAAACAGTTGTCTAGCTCAAGCTCTTGAAATCTTTTGCAGCAGCGCTCGAGCTTCTCCGCCACTTCAAGCGGGTCCTTCCGCTGCCTGCACATTCGGGAGGCCGAACAGAGCATCGCCATTGCATCTTTCAGCTTGCCCACGTCTTTGTGGTCTTCTGAGGCCCGTAGGAGCTTGTAGACAACAGAGAAGTTTAGCTTCTTGACAATCTCCAAAAGATTCGCTTGCATCGTTTCCCATGGAACCCGAACATCGCCAGCTGGCAGCGGGGGCAGTGGACTGAGCTTCATCTCCTCAGGAATCTGGAAAAGCGCCGACCGTGTCAGGTCCTTCTTCTCAGGAGACCGCGTCAGCATGGCCGCGATGTCACCCAAGCTGAATGAACTGAAATTCTGCGGACATGCAAGCAACCAAGCAGTCCAAGCAACAATAAGCATGCAGCAGCGCTTACATGCTACACCATGTCGTCACCCCCTGCACAAGTCGAGCAGTCAAGAAACATGCTCATGATCTGCCATGAGACTGCCAGCGCGAAGTTGCCACAGCAACGCCCAGCAGTGCCTGCAGCTTGCTTGCAGCTTGCTTCTTGCACAACCCTAAAACACACTCCTGGACACTTGCCGCCGGCACTGCGCGAGCGCAGCGGAGCGTTGAAAGAAGGACTTGGGCCTGGCGCGCCAAGCAGAGGTGCTTAAAGGCTTAAAGGCCATTCTGAGAAAATTTTGAAGAGATGGCTTTCGGGTTTGGGGCTTAGGTGTTTTCTAAACTCAGGGATGGGGCAATCTACCCCCCAAAGCTACTTCCACGGCCGAATTGCTTGGGCTCGGACGGTTGCGGATGCGCAGGCCCGGCCTGCTGCAGCTGATCGGCCCTGGCAACGGCGGCCATGGTGGCATTGAAGCCTTACAGGAGCTTTTCAGAACCAATTATAAATATCATTGTAAGAAACCCTGAACAAGATACATGTTCCCCTAATTCTCGGAAATGGCCTTGATCTTCTCGGTACACACCCACAATATCCCACAATATTCTAGTCTTGCGAACAGTGCCGGCAGCACGTTTTGCCAGATCCACTTCGAAGCCAGTCGCGATGCTTGTTTCAATTCTAGCACAAGGGGCTTCGCAGCGTGGGCTGCAATTGGCATTGCTGAACCTGTCATGTCTAAGTCTAGCACGGACAAGTAAGGCCCAGCAACCATGCTGTGTAGGGGCCCACCTTTCCGAGCAGCGCCAAGGCCGCGCGCCAGGCCTGCGCCCTTCCGCAGGCAGCCAAGACAGCGGAGGCGGAGGAGGCGCCTGGGAGCAAAGAAGGCCCGCCGCTGCTCCCATGAAGTCTTCGCAGAGCGTCGCTTTGCCAAGTGACCCCACGCCGTTGCGGATCCGCGATCTGCAGCCCAAAGCTCCAGGGCAGCCTCGGCGTTTCTCAGGAAACTCCCTTAAGAACTCCGAGGCCAAGAAGCCAAGGCAGGGCACCGCCCAGCTCTGCCGGGCCAGGCCCTGCAGTCTGCTCTCCTAGGCACTGGGCGAAAGTGAATCTGCGCCAAGACCACTTCACAAAAACCAAGAAGTGGAAAAAGAAAAGACTGGCGTCCATCGAACTTCGCTCTCCGCAGCATGGTCCACCGCAGTGCCAGAAGCGCTTGGCTTTCGGGCATCCCCCAGGGCCGCAGATCGACACTTCGCCCTACAAAGACATCCTTCGGAATTCTCTCTCTGGTGATGCACGGATGGCTACAGCTTTGGCTTCAGGAACTACCCAGCCACAGAGCCTGAGAGGCTTTGCTTCATGGAACTTTGGGAGCCTTCATGCTGTTTTGGATGGTCTCTTGAAGCCGATGCCGCAGACCAAGAAAGAGCGCAAGGCGAGTGTGCCCCAGCTCGTTCCTTTCTTTTCTGAGAAGCTTCTTCAATCCATGTCCCAACACACGGTGCAAAGTTTCTGCCACCGCATCATTTGAGCGCATCGGAAGACAGCCGGCTTGTTGCAGGCTGCTTTCCCACAATGCGCCGCCTCTTCTTAGGCGGTTCTGTCTGCATGTCCCATGCCGTCTGTGAAAGCTGCTCTCGCAAGGCACTGCTGTCACCTCCGTTCTCTGGGTCCCCCCATGTGACGACTGACCCATCCTCAAGCAGCGCCGCAAAGGCAAAGCCGTTTTCCTGGATGTGCTGTACACCCTTCAGCTTTCCTTGCACGGCGCGGCTGTCGCCACCATAGACATCTGTACCCCAGCTCACCACTGAGCCATCCGTCAGGAGGGCAGCAAACGCTTCAGTCGAGGCTTGGATCTGCTGCACCTGTCGGAGCCGATGCGAAACCGCACTGCTGTCGGAACCATGCCGCCTACTTCCCCAGGTGACCACAGACCCGTCGCCACGAATTGCTGCAAACGCAGCGTCATTGCTCTGAATCTGCTCCACATTTGTCAACTGGTGCTGGACGGCGCTGCTGTCTCCACCGCAATTGCGGCATCCCCATGTAACTACCGATTCGTCCCCCAGGATGGCTGCAAATGCAGCAGCAGAGCCACGAATGCTCCTCACGTCCTTGAGGCGACTTTGAACGGGGCGGCTGTCGCCACCAGCTCCGGCTGCACCCCAGGCGACCACGGAACCGTCCCCCAGCAGCGCTGCAAAAGCCGAATCGGTCGTGGCGATGCCTTTCACAGACTTCAGCTTCTCTTGGACAGCTCTGCTGTCGCCTCCATCTGCCACGTTGCCCCAGGTAACCACCGTTTCATCCTGGCAGATGGCAGCGAAGGCATAGCCACTGCTCGTGATGCTTTTCACGTTCTTCAGCCGGTCTTGCGCAGCGTCGCTGTCCCCTCCACAGTCTGGTGCTCCCCAGGTGACGACGGTTCCATCAGCTAGCAGAGCTGCAAAGGCTGCTGTGGAGGCTTGTATCTGTCGCACATTCTTCAGCTTCTTCTGGACTTTGCTACAATTCCCCCCGACATCCTCTGCTCCCCAACACACCACGGACCCGTCCATGCGGAGTGCTGCGAAGGCTGCGCAGGAGCTTTGGAGGGCCAAGACATGTCGCAGCTGGTGCTGGATCTTGGTGCTATCACCACCAAACTCCCGGCCTCCCCAAGTCACCACAGATCCATCAGAGCGGATCGCGGCAAATGCCCCTGCTGTGCTTCGGACCTCCTGGACGTTTCGAAGCTGGTCCTGTACTTTGCTACAGTCTCCACCCCCGTCCTTGTGTCCCCAGGTCACCACGGAGCCGTCAACCCGTCGGAGGGCAAACGCAGGAGCAGTCGAGGCAATTTCCGGCCAGCGTGCGACGGCATTTAGCGAGTCTCCATCTCGCAGTCCGGCTTCTGCAACTGTGCTGGCGCGGGAAAGGGTCTCTCCAGCCGAATTGATCAGTTTGCTGATGCCAGTCCGCAAGGCAGCCTCGGCATGCGACTGCACTTCTTTAAGGGTCGTGTCGGCTCCCACACGGACCGGAGTGCTTTTGCCACTCAGCAGCACCACATGGCAAGTGCTGCAAATGGACATGGATGGACGTCGACCTGCCCTCTCTGAGATCATCTTGGATCCTATCTTGCCCCTGTAACATACGACATGTTGCACTATCACTATCATCATAAGAGCAATTCGGAAAGGGGGACGCATCACAGCGTTGATAACCCGCGGCTTGGCCTATGAAGCGGCGGGCTGTGCGCTCTTCCCGCTGGGCTCACTCAATGCTGGAGTGTGCACTGCGCCTTGCCCCCGCGCGTGGGCTTGATACCTCGTTCAGAACACCACTCTGCTGCAGAGATCAGATTGCTGGAGGGTTTTTGCTGGCAAGAGGTGACTTCAACTTTGCCTGACTCTCGCTTTTTGAACCCATAGCCATAGCCCCCCCACCAGCTTCAGACCGCGGCTTGCCTCAACAGGCAGTGCGGCGGACACTGGAGAGCCAGGCGCACCAGCCCTGACAGAGGCTCTAGGATCAGAAAACCAAGCCATCTGCATGTTCTCGCATCCTTCGGGCCCTCTTCAGTGCCTGACAGGCATCGGTGGCGGTGGTGGCGGCGCTGTCGTTGGCAGTGTCGCCGGTAGCGTCACCGAGAACGGCCTCGACAGGTCCTGGAGAGGTCGTGGCGAGCTCAAGAAGCTGCGATCACAGGACCACATATATGTTTTGTCGTTCTTGCCGTCAAGAAGCTGGAGAGAGGATGTCGCGTTTCCTTCCACATTTCCGGCAGTACACGGAGTCGGTCCTGGTTGAGGTGTTGAGGATTTGGGCTATTTCAGCATCCGCTGCGGAAAGCTGAAGGCTACTGGTTCTGTGCCTGAGCAGAACAGCCCCTTCTGCACCCGCAGATTGTTGATTGAAGCAAGCTGTCAATTTGCTCAGGGTGGCAACATGTTGACGCCTTCGTTCATGGCACGCGTTGCCTGGATGACATGCATATCTCGTATCTCTCGTAGGGATCCGCGCATGTACACGTTGCCACAGGCTGGACATCGCGCGGCCTCGGGTAAGCCAGAACAGAGCAAGGGAAAGGTGGTCGAGTCTTTCTGGCTACATAACACTAAGTCCAACAGCTTTAAACCCAAACTTTAAACCCTGAGTAAGTGAGTGAGGGAGGGAGTGAGAACCGCCGATGTGCGGTGGCCTACCACACAAGTCCCTCTCGACCTCTTAGGGCACAAGCCGATATCAGTCTCCGAGCAAAGAGGGCACACACCTTACCACCAACCGCAGCGACACGGCGCACCAGATGAGACGTAGCAAGATACTCCGTCTTCGACGGCCAACGCTCAACTCCAGAAACGCAGAGACACGGAACGTCAGCACAATGTGCTTGGCATCAGCTCGCAGCCAGAGTGACCGTTCCATCCGCAAGCGACTAACCTGCAAAACCCAATTGCGTACGTGCTCAACAAGCTCAATATGCCTCAGGACACGGACCCGAGCATGTGCATCGGGCAGGGCAGGAAATATGGTAGACGATTCTGAGGCTCTGTGCCACCCCGGAGATCCTCCCGACTTCCAACCCCAGCCCCCCTCACCATCAGAAGCGCCCCTTAAGCTACCGAGGGAAGAAAGACAGCAATTAGGTGCCCCCTGAGCTGGGGCTCCGGCTTGAACAACCGGCGGTGGAGAAGAAATCGGCTCAACAATTTGGTAGGCAGGTCTCAGAACCTCGGCGTAAAGGTGGCTTGAACTTGAACAAACAGAACAACCCGAGTCTTGCAATCCAAAGCCGAGACCACCATTCTTCGTGCAAAGCTGCTACGAACAACCATTCCCGCGGTGCGTTTTGACAATCGGGGCTGCCTTTGCAAGCACTCCTACGGGGATGAAACTCACTTGCCGGCAACGAGGTGTCCTGTTCGGAATCACCTGGAATCCTATGTGGCTCGCACTTTGCTTTGCCGTTCAAATCGATGGTGCTTCGACTTCGTCAAGCGAGACAGGCATCCTCCAGTCAAGCCCAGCGAGGGTAGCAGCCCTTTAGAGGGATCTGCTGTGGAGACATCGCATTCCAGGCTGTCCACTGGCTTGCGGGCCCGTACCTCATCCCCAGAAACGAGAGGTCAGAGTTTATGCCTGCTCTTCGGTCAAATGATGCCTTCATGGCAACACTGGGCCTTAGAAGCTTGGGAGGTGGGATGATCACGTAGCAGCTGGCGCCAAGAGAGCCAAGCTGCTGAGGGAAAGCTTGCTGTGCGTGCGGCAGCATGTGGTAGCCAGCAGTCATCTGGTGCCAGTCCTGCCGTCAACGAGCATGCCAGTTTATGCAAGGACATGAGGCCAGGCCGCGAGAACCGAAACAATCAAAAATGTCCATTGCGAGTCTGACACACTAGCGTAGCCGGCCAGGGCACCTGTGGTAGTTGGTGCCAGGCGTAAGGAAGGTTCGACGGGTTCGGAGCCGGCAGAGTCGCCTGGTCCTCCTTCACAGTTCGGGCTTCGGACTTAGGGGTCGACTCGAGATTCGCTCTATGCCACACAGGCATGTCATGTGCTCCTCAGCCCACAAGCACTCCTCTTCTCGCTGACACTCAGCTCCTTTGCAGGCTGCGTCTCTGGCTTCTAACATACATCCTGATGACAGAACAAGCTCGAGCCTTGCCCAGCACTCATGGCCGCTGACAGCAAGGCACGCACATCCTTCCACGTTGCAGTCGCAGGCTCTCGGAAAGCTTCGCAGAGACGCAGACATGATGCGCTGCAGCCGATTTTGGCTTCTCTTATGATGGGATCTGAGGGTCCTCTGTCGCGGCATGGTCAATGGGTTGCCGGCCGTTGCGATCCCTGCAGTGGCAATCTGCCCTGGCCTCTGTCGTCAGATTGGCAAACAAGGACCCCTGAAGGAGCTGCAATAGCCACACACAATCCCTGCCTCCAGGAGCAATTCGCAATGCTCGCGGACACCCCGAGAAGCCGCGTGCATCAACGGCGTCACCTACTTCGCTGCCATGATGCTAAACTGCTAATGCCAAGGACGCCCACAAGCCCGCGTTCAGCCCGTGCAGGCACTCGTGCTGCAGGCTTCTAGGCAAATCTGGGACACCGTGCGACTTTCTGAAAGAACTGCCATGTGCTCCGCTCCTGGGTAATTGGCAAGGCATCGACCACGGCTTCAGCACGCAGCAGCAGCTGCAGGCATTCTGTTCCTGAGGGTGATCTACTTCGCCACTACATAGGTGACATAGGTGATACAGAGTCCATGATTCTTGGAATGCAGCCCCAGAACATGTACTGTGAAGTCTGTTAAACCAACGATTCACGAGAGCTCCCACCAGTCAGGTCAGACTCCATCCAGGCATGTTGCAGCTGCAAATTCGGATGACGGGTTGGCCGGAACTGCATGTGTTGTTGTGAACGGAAGCTCACCGAGACTCCTGGCTAGACTTGACATAAAACTTGCTTGCCACGCAACGTTCTGCTGTGCGACCTCTGCCTTTTGCTGCCAGAAGCAGTGGTGTCGCACCACTGCTGTCGCACTCCTGGATAGGCGATCTGAAGTAACGCCTTCTGCGCACCGATCCGATTGCTGGAAAAACCTTTGACGAATTGATGCACAAACCCACAAGCTGGCTCTGTGACCAAGCCCCCTGATGCTCCCGTCTTCTCTGCCTCCACGGCCGCACCCTCGCTCAGCCAAGCGCGGACCATACTTGGCATCGCCAATTCTGCTGCGCCTTGATAGGTAAACCATAACCAAGCTGCTTCGGTCGCTCGGAGATGTCGGACAGGCCCTTTAGAGGTAGAGTATAGAAGATGGATGATTCCGGTGTTGCTGGAGCTTGGTTCGCTTGGGCGTAGATTACTCCAACAATGCTTTGCCAAGATGCGATGAAGCGAACGTCGACCACCCGCCTTCAGCAGAAGCTCGACGCATTCCTGCCGCATGTAAGACAACCAGGGGGAAAGATGCATGGAACAAGCAACCCGAGACGAGCTCCTGCTGGTTTTGGCTTACTGCCACATCCAAGGGGGTTCCACCGTGCCTGAGTAGCTCACATGCGGGCACTAGAACCAGGCAATGAACCACGAGTGAGGGATGCACCAGTGTTATTCTGCTGAGCTCTTCACTTCCAGCGGATCCAGCCGGAGCAACCCACATTCTATGCTCCCAACGACTTCCCACGACACTTTCGAAGGGAACCGCCTGGCCTACGCATGCCAGGACTTTCGAACAGTTGCACCTCTTATAGAACCCTACAAGTATAGCCTTTTCGCCACCTGAGCCCGGTATGCCTACAGCGCTGCCTTTACTCAGAAGCCGGGTGGCTTCACGGGTCTCGCGTTCAAGCTCGCCCAGGGCTCTTTTCTCAGGCACCCAGAGGTCTCGAAGAGAAGCAACTGCAAGGCCTCGACGTTCCCTGCAGGAACCAAGGGAGTTAGGGTTCTGTTTCGGGCTTAGCATGTAGGGCCAATGTAGGGCTTAGGGTTTCCGATTGGCCAGAAAGGATATGTGCACGTGACCCGCGGTCTGTCCCTCCTCCTTTTGCTGATTCGCGCAGGAGCCCGTCCTTATCTCTTGGCAATCCATGGATTTTCACAACCCGACCTGTGCTCTCAGCTATCATGTGCTGACAACACGGTGCATCGATTGCATGCAAGTCTCCGCACCAGCGCAGGTCAAGACAGCGCCGCTCTTTCGCAAGAGCTCCTTAGGCAAGAGCTCAGCCGAAGGCCCTAAACTCTGAAACGCCAGACCCTCAAGAACCCATGAAAGCCCCCCCCCACGAACAAGCCCAGCGTCGGCAGCACCACGGCAGCCTGATGCCAGCGCTTGACTTTAGAGATTGGAGGAGCAAGGTGCGAGCAGAGGGATAAGCTGGCGCTTGCACATATGATCTACAAATCTGTACATATGGCTCACAGAGCAGTACGCCCCTATGCATGCGCACCGGTGAGAATAGTACTGGGGTCAAGGGTTATGACTTTATATCTTCTTTCCATGTACTATTTGGCCAGCCTTGCTGATCCCCCGGGCCTTACATCATGTTAAGGATTCGTGCCGAGTGCCGGAGTGCGCGAAACTTCCCTACGCCGGCTAGGCTAGGAGTAGTTACTACGTCACTTTAAAACAGGAAGCTGACATCTGCGTTCAGCTAAGCCAAAGCCCGAAACTCTGAGCCCAATACAGATTGGGGTTTGATGGTTTCAGGGTTTAGGGCTTCGGGCCCGATGAACCCCCAAAAAAACCCGCCCGAAGGCCTTTCTGCACTGCGATGGTCAATGGCCTTCCATCAGGAGTCGCTGTGTTGACGTCCTCTGGCAGCAAGTCTTCAGCTAGGTCAGAAGGGACTTCCGACAAAGAAGCTGCAGAGTTGCTGGTCAGAGTCTTCAGTTGATGCCATGACTTTCAAATTGTGTATAAACATTTGTATGTCTCTGTCTCTGTCACTCTTGCTGATGTCGTTTCTGCATCTCCACTTCCGACTCTCGCCTCTGGCCGAGCACGGATGGCTGCCCATAGACGGTCCAGGCTGAGAAGCCCCTGCATTTGAGGTTTTAGGGCTTTGGGTTAGGCTTCGGGGTCGTGGGCTCAGCCAATGTTTAATTAACGTAGGTACCATCACCGAACCTCAACACACGTGCCCAACCTCAAACGAGGGCCTTAATATTGGCACTGAAATAGCAGGGTCCTTGCAAAAGGACACCAAAACTTCTAAAACTCCCAAATCATCCGCGGAGCAGGACGCAGCTGCGCCAGCAAGTGGCCTCGAGTTGGAATGCTCATGCCCTCAATAGGGTTTCGGGGCTTGGGGTTTAGGGTTGAGGACTTCAGGGCTTAAGGTTCAGAGTCAAAGGTTTGGTGTTTAGCGTTCTAGGTAGCACAGCTTGGAGTTAGAGGGTTCATAGGGCCATAGGGTTCTGGGTTTGGGGCTTTAAGGTGTAGGGTCTACCTGATATCTTATTATAAGGGTCCTTACAACAAGCATCCTTTGGTTTTGGGTCGTGTGGACCTTTTGATTGCTTCACAAGCTTTTTATGAAACTTTAGGAAACTGCTACTGCTTCCACGCCGCATTTTCCAAGGTCGGGCCACCACTCCTTGAAATGCAGAGAGCTTTCTGGGAGATGAACTCTTTAAAAGGAGTGTCAGAACTCAACTTTAGCACTCGATAAAAGTCACGCTCAACTCGCGACCCACAACCTTTAACGCTAAACCCCAAACCCTGGCCCATGTACGTGTATATGTACTATATGCTGAACACTGAATATGCTCGAGTGTGCTTCGGTTATGTTCTGTTTTGCTCTGTTCTATTTCAGTAGTGATATAACAGATTGCAGTACATAAAGTATGTACAAAGCAGAACAGATGGTTAGATAGGCTCTTTATTCTACCAAATGTGTTCTATTTGCGTTGTTTCTCCAATATTTAGACATACATAAACAGAGTCTTCTTCATCGAGCGCAGCTACATTACATGTCTTCACATTGTGTTACTTATTTCATATTCCAGCACTCTAGATCATGATGTATACTGTTATAAGTTAGTACAGTATGTTGAGGAACAGAAGAGCAAAGCATTGTGCAGTGTAGCGTGGGGTAGTGTGGTGCAGTGTAGTATGGTGTGGTATAGTGTAGTGTAGTGTAGCAAAGTACAGCATAATGTTGCGGTAGGACGAACGTTTGACCTATTCGTTGTTTCGTCGAACACAGCCCCCCCCCCCCCCTTAATCTGCCCTAGAATCCTAACAAACCGGACCCACAGGACACTCCCCCGGAACATTGAAGTAGCACGATTTCAACCGGGGTATAAACTACTCCGCTAGCCAGGCCACGTAATTCGAGCCTCTGGCTACTTCGCTTTAAACTCCGCGTGAAGTCTTCAGTCAAGAAAGCACCAGTAGGTCAACACTTTTGCCCTGCCAATGTAGTGGCATGCTAACCGTACACAAGAGTTGTAGTTCCGAATCACGTCCGAGCCGCCCTCTGGGATTAGGGCTTGCCAAAGCCTGCACAAACTTTTTCCAACGCCATCATCAAGCTATGGACATCAGCCTCAGACAGTTGCGCCGAAGGCTTTGATTCGGGCGCTGCTAAAACACAGCTCCAAAACAATTAGACCCCTGAAGCCCTCAGTGTGAGGAGGACTTGAAGTTCGAGAACTTCCCATCTCCTACGATGAGAGCAGCAGTAGCATCCCGCGGGAGGAGTCACATGTCTCTCTCCTTGAGGGTTGAAGGTTTGGGCTTCGTTGGGCGGGCGCAGGAATTGGGGTGACTTACAATTTATAATGCTTTTGAGCTCATTCGTTGGCGCCTGTGTTCGAGACATGTCTGCACCTCCCGCGCAAGGGAGAAACTCTTCCGACAGTGCGAAACTGCTACCTCAGCGACCCAACTCTCCTCATCATCCGAGTCCTGCAGCCTACGACATCAGCCTTTGCTATTGCGATTGTGTGCGAGACGAGTGCCATGGACACTGAACTCCGTTAGCTGTTCTACTCAGCCTAATCATACTAGTGTCACTGGCGGCAAGTCTTGCCAAATCCTGCTCCCCAAGTTTCAGTCCCAAAACCCCTTGGGCCCCCAAACTGCAGCCCAAAAGAACCCTGAAACCTCAAGCAAACTCATATACTGAAAGCTGCAGTAGCTCCTGCTGTGGATGGAGTTGGGGATTGGGGTATGGGGTTCACAGCTCATGGAGTGTAGGAAGGCAGAAAAGGAGGCAGACTTTAACAGCAGTACACGCCAGAAAGTCGAAACGCAGCTCTCCACTAACACTTGTGGAGTAGTGGTAGAAGGAGCACAGTGCTTCCCTTTTTCTATGCAGCTTAATGGCCGATCCAGCAGTGTAAGTATGCCTTAATGGCTCATAGAAGCACAAGGCCAGTGATGCAAAAACTGCAACCTACACCCTGATCCCCAAGTAAGAATTCCGATAAGCCTACAAGCCCCTTTAAAGGACATACCTTGCGGTGCATAAAGGATCCGAATCAGGCTGAAGGTATAGTGCTTGAGTGAAGGCTTTCTGCTAGCTGCAACCTCGTCATGATGCAGCCGGAGAGGATGTGGTCGCGTCACATGCAGCTGGCTCCGTCTTGCACGAGCTTCTACCCCAAGGTGCTCGCTGCTCCTTGACACTGCTACAGTAGAGACGTCTTCCAAGGGCCCCAATACCAGATTCAAGAAACACCCGCACATCCTAGACCCCAAAATCTAGACCCTGATCGTAGCGGTATCTAAGAACTGTAGCCTTAGAGGCAAGCTCTGCGCTCTTGGGTCACGACAGCTCAAGCTCATCACATTCCAGATGTTGGCATTGGGATTTACGGACTACGGTTCGGAACTCGGGAGCAAACCTACATAAAACTAACAGGGAATAATCATTACTATCGGGCTTGGAATCACACGTGCACAACACAAGCCGTTAGCTTGAACTAACTATCAGTCAGGGCATGGGGCTTAATGAACCCGCAACCTCACGTTCAGAAGCTCACCCCATAAGCCTCCAAAAGCCCTTATCACGTCAGGGATCACGGGATTTACCAGGCAGCACGGAAGCAGTGGGATAACTCCAGTTACAGTACTACGTGTAAGTCTCTCCCTCATGGATTGAAAACTGAAAGCCCGTAAACCCTAAACCCTCCTGAGCCATTTACCCTACACCCTTCCAAAAAAGACATTCTACAACCCGGAAACCCGCAAAGAACCTCTCTCAAGACAGGCACAAGAATCCCAAACCCCAAGAATCGAGACCCTAGATCTTAAAATCCAAAGTTGGGGCTTAGGGTTTAAGTTTTTTTAGAGTTTAGGGTTTAGGGTTAAAGTTTCGGGTTTTGACCAGACCCTTTAAGCACTGAATCTTAGACCGCGGAAGCTAGTGCTCAGCAGGCTAAAGAGCCGACTGCGTGTGTCAGGACCTCGGGCTCAACAGTCTTGCGCCAAGGATGCAAGATTCGAGCAGGATTTGAGACTTCGGGTTTAGGCCTTGGGTTTAAGGTTTAGGGTTTGGGGTTTTGGGGGTTAGGATTTGAGACCTAGGATTAGGGTTCAGGGTTTGCGTTTAGGGTGTGGGACGTGGGGCTTAGCCTTTAAGATTTCGGATTTGGGGGCCTACGGGTTTGAGAACTAGGTCTTGAGGCTTAGACTTGAGGGGTTTAGAGCTTTAGGATCGACTCGTTCCTTGGCATCACCAGCCAACGACGATTTGAGGTCTAGGGATGATGAAGCCTTAAACCCTAATCCCTACACCTTAAACCCTACAAAAGGCTGTAAACCCTAAACTCGAAACTCTAAAGCCTAAAACTCATAAATCCTTCCTTCTTCGCTTCACATTGTGGGCTTGGGCTTCTCAGGATGGCAGCTAAAGGCAGCCCCAAGGAACCCAAGAAAAATCACCTCGAACAGCTTTAGTGGTTTGGGGCTTGGGGTTGTAGGGTTTGGGGCTTCTGGGTTTTGAGGCTTAGGGCTTTTAACGCCCGGTGGAGGTTCTAGGGTCTAGGGCTTCCTAGCTGAGGAATTCATTCAAGCTTTAGCCCTTAGAACCTTAGAGCTTTGGGGGCTCAGGGCTTGGGAGACATTCCGGTGCTACAGTTGCTCCACCCGGGGCTCCTAAACCCTAAGCCCTAAGCCCTAAACGACTCCAGCTAAGACTCGGGCTGCTAGACCGCTTCGTCCCCCAGAGCCCTAAACCGCAAACCCGACCATAACGCCACGGGGCTCTACTTCGGAACTACCCAAGGTCAACCACAGAAGATTGTCATTCCGAGCTGGACTGGGGTGTTAGGGGCAGCTTTACACTACAAGTCTAGTCAATCTAGTGGCAAATCCCGAGGAGGACGATGGCAAATTAGATGATTCAGACTCCTCCAATGCACAGAGGATCTTGGCACTTTTGGAGTCCTTTGGAGTGCACTAGACTTGATTTTTGACCATCGAAAAAGCTATGTTTTTAGCCCCGAGCTTGACATAAAATCACGATCCAAGCATGAGCTCGAACTGCCCGGATTGTAGACTGCATCCCGAACCGTGTACTACACCAATGTAGAAGCTTATTGTAATTGATTAGTACCAACATTTTTGTATGGGTTACGGTCATGAGTATCATCATTGTGTCTATTCATTTTCTGATAACTGTTACTGTCACTACTGTTGGTACAATAACTGCTGTTGTCATTGTTGTTATTCTTGTTAAGCGTTGTCAAATTTTTCATCCTGATTTACTGATTGTAGTATAGACACACACACACCCAGATCTCAGTCTAGCTATTCGCTTCTGTATTACCACGCTTAGGTTGAGGGTTTGTGGTTGCGGACTTGAGGGTCTTGGGTATTGGCTTCGGGGTTTGGATTTGGAGGTTCAGGGTCTTAGATTTAGAGAATTTTGAGGTTTCGAGGTTTCGAGGTTCAGGGCTTAAGGCTTGCAAACCGCGGGAGACTACCCCAAATCGACATCATGGACCCGAAAGGCTGGCAAAAACCTGCCGCCCTCGTAAGGCCGTGGCTTGCATGCTTCCGTACTGGTCTCCACCCAATCCTCAGAAGAGCTTCGTAGAATTCATGAAACCAGGTTTAACACAAGACGTACGTGATCCCACAAAGAAAAAGACAAGCCCCCCAACATACTGAGAACCCCTAGACCCTAAACCAATGAGACCAAAAGCCCAAAATGAAATGGATGTTCGTCAACAATCCTGTGGGTTCATAACTATGAGAAATATGAAATAAGTGGCTCCTAAGATGGCACTGAAGCTGAGGGTTGAGTGTTTAGGGTCTCGGTTTATGGTTTGGGGTTCATAAAGGCTTAGGTCTCGAGACAGATAGCTTCGGATCAAGGCTATGGTTGGTTCCGTCCTTGTCTCAACAAGACAACAGTGGTCCTAAAACGACGATGGTTGAAAACTAAGATGCTCAGCTGGACACTATATACGCCCTGTTTTATAACAACCAATATTGCTCCTAGGTCCTATAGTAGCTTGTGGTCAGGTTTTTGTCCTGGCAAATGCCGCGGTGATGGTTCCCGGGTGCTTGGGGTAAGTGCTTTTGTCTTGGCAAATGCCGTGGTGATGGTTTGCGGGTGCTTCTGGTAAGGTTTTTGTCTTG